TGAGTTTGCACACACAAAGCAATGCTCCCCACCTGGTCCCTGTTTCGTTCATCCCAAAAATCTGCCTGTAAAAATGGGTTTACTGGACTTCTGCACATAGTCTTCTGAGGTTTTCACCGAGCACAAATCATTCTTGACCAAAAAAAAAAAAAAAAAAAAAAAAAAAAAAAAAAAATTGGCCTGAGGTCTATAAGAGAAAATTTTACTTAGTGTATTTTTGTAAACCTTACATTCTCAGAGTGCAGAAAAAGTGTTCAAGTATTGGTATATCACTATTTGCACATGCAGGAAATGTACATTTGCACAGGTTTCTTTCTGTTTTACAAGTGTGAGCATGGTAGGGAATCCTTCCTCATGAAAGTGGAGGCTGCATTTCAGTGCAGATAGGATTGCCACTAGTTGTGCCCAGGAACATCCCTAGGCAGATCCTGCCGCAGGGGCCCTCTACCCTTAGTCTGTGGGGGGAACCCGCTGCCTTTGGTGAGTGGGTGCTTGCAGGGCACAGCAGCTCAACGCCGAGCCAGATTCCTCGAAATAAAACCCGCCAGTAAGTAATGCTTCGCTTTGCTCCTCTCTCTGGGTCTCACCCATCACTGGGATCTGCTCAAACTGCTTTGCTAGCCAGATTTGTAACCATTTGCTTGAATTCTTTACATTAAGAAGTACTAAAGCCAACATGTTTTTTTCTTCTGTTACACAGAATCCTAATGCACATCCACGGCCGACCTCCCAGGATTTAGCAGGGTTTTGGGATATGCTGCAGTTGTCCATAGAAAATATTAGTATGAAATTTGATGAACTTCATCAGTTAAAGGCCAATAATTGGAAACAGATGGATCCTCATGACAAGAAGGTAGAACACTGTAGATTTTGTATGCTTCATTTAAAACCCTGCACAAATACTGGACAGATTAAGTAGGCCTCTGTGTTACAGCGTTGACGTTAAAAATGTGAAATGAAGCTCATATCAAATTAATTTCATTGTATTAACAATGTTTACATAATAATCATCTGGGATATTATCTGTAATATGTTTCAGGCATATTTTTAAACCAAATCTGTCTTTGTGAATCGGATGATGGGAATGTGGTACTTTGTTAAGCTTTACATTTAATCATATTAGATGATCAATCGTTGGAAGGAACTGCCTTATATATTGATTCTTAAAATTAAATAAATCACATTTACGGTTCATATTATTGCATACAGCAAGAGTTCTAGGTTGTGTTACTGAAAAAACCAGGGAACCACTGTAACCATCGCTGACTTTGGTAGCCAGGTTACAAACAGCAATATCAAAAATATGCCTTCCAAAATGTTACATGAAAAAATTACTATTTTTTGTCCATTTGTTTGTTTTTTACTTATTTTGGGCTTTTTTTAAAGTGGGTGATTTCACAAACACATTCACTTTCACTTTCCTGGTATTGTTGTTTACCTGAGGTAGCATAAAAATCATCTGGAGCTTTGGTGGGGATTTTCTTTCTTTTTTTCTTTTTTTTTTCCTTCTCTTTTTGTAAATGTAGTCTTCTTCTGTCACCATGAAAAACTACCACATCCAAATGTAAGTCATGTTTCACGTTACATTCTCATTTGGCACCATCGCCTTTTTTTTTTCTCCTCACTATCCACCTCAAGACAAACAGCACTTGGGTGAGCCAAAATACACAAATGTTTCAGAAAATCCTTAGAGCACAGACCCATTCCTAGAGGAACCAACAGTGTAATGTCGTGCTCCTGTAGGTATGTAATTTGGTGGCTGAATTTCCACTGTGACTGGTCTGATAGCAATGAACACAGCCAACAGGTAGGGTCACCAGAAGGAGGGGAGCACAATTTACAGGTACAGTGGCTCAGACAGGAGTCCTGGCTACCTCAGCTTATGGTCAGCTGGCTGCCAATGACCAAAGTGGTGTTTTATTTTGGACAAATAACCATAATAATATCAAACCCCATTAATCTTGCAGCAGGAAGCTTGTACAGGCAGTGCTGGTAGCACTATTCCTCCTCCTCCAATCAAGACTAAATATTCATTCCTGACTTAGGAGTGCCATGTTCACACCATTTGTGCACACCTAGTGTGTTTTGTAGGGGAATGAATGGGAATGTGTTTTCCTAGCCCAAGGTACTGAAGGCAAGTCATTTTCTTATCTTCTTTTTTTTTTTCCAGTATCTATCAGTAAAGGAGGTTAAAACTGCCAAACATGCATGCACAGAAATGCTGGTATATGGTCTTTCATTAGCTTTTACAGTAAAGTGGGTAGGCTGAATGTTTGCAATTGCAGCAGTAAGAAATGAGAGCTTTCCTCGAAAAAAAATGTGCCTTTTCTTTGCTTCTGAAAAACATTTCAAAGAGTTTCCAAAAAAAGAAGACTATAACAGTTTAAAGGAAGTTAAGTAGTGCTGAAGAAAGGGACCTACAGTAGGAAGGTAAAGATTTTAAAGAATTACACTGTGTTCCTGTTTCAACAGCATTTTTCTATGATTTTAGATGAAACAGATCATGTCCTTTCTTAAAAGGGATTAAAAAAAAAAGGAAGAAAAAACTTTCTGTGGAATTGATATTTGCCTTTGGCCTTTGCCACTGGGCCCTTTTTAAGCAGCACAGATTAATCCTTGGATGGAGAGAAAAAGCAAAGTATGAATAAGTGTAACTAAGCACCTTTATATTTTGAGCCATGGAAGCTGTTGTGAGCAGCATGAGAGAAAACGAAAGGGCAGAATGGGACCTTTGTAGTGTGATAAAATCCCTTCGCTCAGAGACTGTGTTCACAGTTGGAAGGGGATGTAACTTAAAAGACAATCTAATTAACTTGACAAAGTCTTTGTGGATGCCTGAAATTCAGTTCTGAATACACTTTTCTTTTATGGGAGAGATCCTTCTCTGAGGGTTTGTGGTTTTTTTTGGTTGGGTTTTTTTGGTTGTTTTTTAATTTTCTTGGTTTTTGATGTGTATGTGTGTATACAAGCACCAGGGTATACATAAAAGCCCTCCTTGTTGGTCACATATCTGGAGCTAGCTGCCACCATGATGATTAATGCATGTTCTCTTAATAGTTTTTAAGTTTTTCCTACCAGATTTTCTATTTCTAGCTGAATGTAGCTTCATGCCTATTTAGCACAAGGCCAGAATTTATGAACTAGCACACCAAGACCCAGAGCATGGGATTTTTGAGCAGTCACTAAACTGCTACGAAATAGATACATAAATATGTGGTGGGGTGTTTTTTTTAAAACTACTTATTCTGATGCACCAGCTGCAGACAGCTAGCTCCCATCTACATTTGGGAACGCCAAAGCCATGGCACCTCCGTGTTGCAGGAGCATCTAGCACTATGCATGGATAAAAGAGGGTGGCCCGGGAGCTGGGGCTCTCCAGAGTTCCTCTGCTGAGAGCAGCGTTCCCTCCTGGCTGCACCGGTGGCAGGAGGTCGGTCTCTTTCCTAGTCCCTGGCACTAAGCAGGTAGCGGTGGGGGCCCCGGCCCCGGCAGCACCATCCCCGAGGAGAAGTAGCACGGCGGCCGGCCCTCCCCTCCCCTTTGCCCTTGCCCCATGTTTATGAACCCTTGAGCACAAAAGCCAGTTGACTGAAGACAGAAAGGCAGATAAGACCTAACAAACCTTAGGTAAAATGTGTGTTCTAACTACTGATATATCCTAGTTTTTCCCGCCTTTCCCTGAGAAGCTGTATAATGCCATTAACCTTCTGCTTTGATCAGGAGAGAAGGGTCCCTCCTCCAGTGCCAAAGAAGCCATCGAAAGGTCAGGTGCCACTCATACGAGAACGCTCTCTGGAAAGCTCGCAGCGTCAGGAGGCCCGGAAACGGCTGATGGCTGCCAAGCGCGCTGCGTCGGTTCGCCAGAACTCAGCTACCGAGAGCGCCGAAAGCATTGAGATATACATCCCCGAAGCCCAGACCAGGCTATGAAGGGATCCAACCGGGAGGACTCTCTCTGGCAAGACAAGCCTCATGTATAATCTGCCCCTCTAGGCTCCTTCTCAAGGTCACCACAAAGTATTTGTACCTCCTCCTCTCTCTCTCTCGCTCTCTCTCCCTACTCTCCCCCTCCCCTCTCTCTGTACGCAGCTGCCCCGATGCTCCCAGTGAACTCCACTGCCGTGGCGTAGTTGTCGGTCCTCCGAGAGATGTCCTCTAATCACCCTTGCTTTCTGAAGGTTCCATGTCATCACGATGCTTTGTCACATGTACTGATGCTGCCACTTTGCCTCATGTAAACGAGCACGATCCTTTTTCTTTTCTGTTTGGAACCAATAAACGCAGCACTCAGACTTCCACACACCCGCACACCTGTACAGTAGATGCTCCATTTAACCTACTCATGATCTTTAGTTGATCTAAAGCTAGCCTGTTACCCAGTGTACAGCAATATCAAACTGTAGGGGACTTTGGTATTTTCAGTCATGCAGGGTGATCCTTTCGGACTCTGCCGTCTTCCTCACAAAAGATGAAAGGAGCTATGACTCGGATTCCCTTCTTTTTATTACTGGTTGTTTTTTTTTAAAGCAGATGGCGCACTTTATTCTAAATCTCCAAATCACATCTTCACCTGAATTAAGGAGTCACACAAGGGGAGGGAGCTGGGGTGGGAGCGGGGAGGGGGGGACGAAAAGAAACCCCACAGCTCTGGCAGGTGAAAAGGTGGAAGTATATCCCGCAGGTGAGATGGCAAGGGATACAAAAGATCCTGTGGAAAGATACCTGCACACTCACAGCTGCACAAACTGCCTCATTTTTATTTCATCAATCACTACTTAAACATTTCAATCAGCAGAAGATTGTAAATTCGATCTTCCAGGGAAATAATCTATTTTGAAAGGCAATAAAAGAGTAAAAAGGAAGGAGATAAGAAGCACTGACAGTTGAAGAGATAATATAAAAGAAGGATTTTCTTGTCCAAGTATTAAGAATTTTTAAAATTGTACTGTATTGTCAATTCCTCTTGTATTGTATTGTATGGATTATATTGGTTAAAAAAAAAAAAAGAAAAAAAAAAAAAAAAGCTTGGTTTTGTTGATGTCTTAATCTCGGTGGGACCATCCAATTCTCATACGTCCACGCAGCCACACACGGACACCTGTAAGTGAATTACTGTACATGGAGCCTCTGATGCTTTTCCAGGCCAGGCTTGCTTTGCTCTATCCACAGCTGGTTGTATGCTACAGTTCAGACTGCTTATCACCAAACCGTCCATATTTAGGAGTAAATTTCTAATTCAGCCTCCTCTTAAATAGTATAATGTACTCACTTGAACAAGAACAATAGACTATTTTTCACAAGTTATGGGATCAATATGAACTTAATATTTTTCACGACAAGCCTTCCTACCCTGGCTTCTGCCATTGTTTTGCAATCACAAAAAATATGCATCTTAAGTAGCTCATTAATAGTGGGCGGAAATGGCAGATTATAAGACTGGAGAGGAGCCTGAGAGGTCAGCTCCTGTGTGTCTGTCCCCTCCAGCCACCTCTGGCTGGGACAGGGGCTTGTCCTCCAGCTCCTCTGATGAGGAACGATGCCAACCGCGCTGCTACTGGAATCTCTTGTGCCAACATTAGGAAAGCTATGTCAGGCATGTTGCTGAAAGTGAGTTGTGTGCGTGCGTGCGAGCGTGTGTGAGTGCGCACACGTGTGCCTAACTGGCATGTGCTGCTGCCAGCAGAATTAGCGTGAGCTGCTTTGGGTGACAGGGCTGCTTTGGGTGACAGGGCTGCTTTGGGTGACTGGTGTGAGCAGAGGAGAGCTGTGCAGCCCTCAGCACTTGTGCAGCGATGTTTTCCAGACTCCTCTGCTGCTCCATACGTGCTCTTCACCCTGGTCTGCCAAGGCAGGGGTACACGGGAGAGGAAGGCAGGCTGCTTTCTGCTCCCAGTGGGCACAGGCACAGGGACAGCCCCACCATGGAGGGGCACAGGTGGCAGCCCTTGCTGCACGCCAGTGCTGGCTGGCTGTGCCCATGGCAGCTCAATCTGTACGGACAGTCCAACCAGTGAAAAACCCCACTGCACATGTGGCGTAGTTCTGCAGCTTGCACTTAAAAAGCATTGAAAATCATCATTGAAAAGTTAAGCTCTTGCTAAAAGTATTCATCGAGACCATGCCAGACAGCTTCTTTTCCTATGACATCATAGCCAGGTGCTAATTTAATTTTATTCGAGAAAATAGGAGAGGTAATAGGTTCTGGCACCAAGTATTTTCATGACAGCATACTAAAACCACTAGAGAATTTGCTACCTCTCAAAGCCATCGATATCTGAGCTATGTCTTTATAAACAGGGCACAAATATTTACTGCTGTGGTTTACAAGATAAGGGCTAATAATTTAATATATAAAAGACTTTTAACTAGAGTAATCAGAAATCCAGTGTAACTCTAGAGTGCTTGGTGTTACAGGAGCTTCAAAAGGTTTGACCCTCTAAGCGTTTGAATACCAGTGTATTTGCTAGTTTTGAAACACTGCGTTTAACTTTTAGCAGCAACAAAACATCACCGTGTTTGCAGTATGTAATAGTGCCAACTGCCACTTTTGAGCATATATAGTCATAGGAAGTATTAATTATTTGGAACTCATTTGTACTGAAGTATTCAAAGCAGTACTTAGGTGAGAGTCCACATTCACAACTGTGTCGCAGACTTACTTAGTTTTGTGAACGTTTTACGAAAGATGAGTTAAGATTTTGGTTGACAAGTGGCTACAGAAATTTATATCCAGCAAGTTCTCCCCTAAAAAAGCAGAAAAGTGAAGACTATCTAGTCTTGTACATTACAAATTATTGTATTTGTATATCATAGAATATTTTTTGTACCTATTTTAAATGAATTTATTCTTAGCTGAATGCTTGTTAGTTCATTTGGCACTGGAAAGGATATTATAATGTTTGCCTAGTTTTTTAGCAAAATATTAAAAATACAGCCAATACCAGAAAATACAAAATAAAATAATTCTGCCCATAGAATGCCACTAGTTAACCACTTGACTCATTTACAAACACTAATGCTAGTATATTTGCTCCATCGTCTGTTTTAGAATAATTTGTAACTATTTGTTTTTAGTCTAAACTGCCCAGTGTATTTTAAAAATGCCTATATTCTGTTTCACTTTGGGACTAAACTATTGCTTTTTTTTCTTGGGGGAAATTTTAGAAAAGGTTGGTTTTGTCTCCTGCTTCAAAAGTTAAAAAAAGAAAAAAGAGGTATTTATTATATTTTTTGCAGATGTTTCCATAAAATTCTCATAACCTTTTTGTAAAGAAAGATGAAGAAATGGATTAAAGATTTTTAATATTTGAAAAGGTAAATAGAAATAATTTATTTGTAATATATTTCATTTTATTTATTGGTGTACCCTTAATGCTTTGATGTGCACTATCACTTTAATTTAAACTGTATCATTGTGAATTTATTGGGGGTTTTTGTTTTTTGTTTTTGTTTTTTTAAAGGAAAATGGTCAAATGCATATTTTAAGTAGAATGTAAATCACTGGCCTACCTGCATTCCCAAATGTGATTTTAAAAATGTTTTTGATTTGAAACAAAAGACACAAATTTGAAAGCCTTTAGACAGAAAAGAGTGTTTTTATGGCTTAATGATTTGGGTTTCCCTAGGATTATCTATCTGGTTTGTGTGTGGACAGGAAAATGTAAATAGATGAATGTTTCCCATAATGTAAAAAGAGCAAATTAATAAAATAATTAATGCACTGCTTGTAAGAGCTGTGGGTTTTCAATGCAAATTCATTCTTCCAGAACTGCCAAGGCATTTCATTTGATGTGGTCAAGGATAAAAGCACGACAGCCAGAATATTTCTCTTAAACTCTCATTGCTTAAGACTAGCCCTGCAAAGTCTCATCCAAAGCATCCTGCTGAGCACCCTGGAAGTGTTCATCTGCACAGAGTTGCTCACAGGCATAAAAGTTGCCATGATCAAGGCCTTGAGCCTTAGCAAAATCTTCAAAGGCGCTTCTGCACAGAGCCCAGCCAAACCCCACTGAAGATGCCAGGAGTTACACTGGGGACTTCAAAAGAAGTGGCAAGAAGACCCCAGCCTGTTTGGTTTTCCCCTCTCTGGTTCTCTTTCATTTTCTGCTTATGTCCCGTGATGTCTGAATTTTTGGGGGCAAAAGAGATTCCTGACAGGCATAGCTAACTTTCCCTTCACTGGAATCCTGCTTCCATATGGGGTTTTTCCCACTGAGTGAAATAAAGACAGTCACCAAATCCCACGGAACCATGTCCTGGATGATGTTCATGGTTATACCAGTATTTAAACAGGTCCTGATTCAATTTGTAGTACCTGGTAGTTACATTATTAGTGTGCCAGTGCTGCACCCTGTACTGTCTGCCCGTGTTTAGACCCTCAGCACAGAAAGACCAGAAAGATTTGTGCTGCAGATCCATGGGCCGGAAAAATTCTGCTTAACACCAAGATTAAGGGATTTTTCTTCACATGCTGGAATTTATGTGCTCATTAGTCACTGATAAATGGATTCACCAGGGATGGGAGGAAAAATTCTTTGTTACTTAAAAAACTTTGTGACGTGTCTGGTACCTTTTTGCAATAAGAACAGCTCAAGGGGAGTAAAACAGCAGGTACGTTTCACACTGTTCTCCAGCAGAGTAAGGAAGTCCAAGCCATGGCTCAACCCCGCCTTTCATGCAGGTAAACTTTCTCCGTATTTATACTCAGTATTTCCTTCCAGATCAAATCAGAAGCCTTCCCCAGAAGTATATCTTGTTGTCAGTTTGTTTGCCAATGTCTGTTCTCTTCTGCAAGACATTGTTTTTGCATCACGCAATAGGCAAATAATTCACTTCAGCCGTCAGTTTGGAGCATGCTCGCCTATCAAATCTGATGACTTTGAGCTGACATTTTTGATAGCAATTAATGATAAAAATATTGGCTGCTCTGCCACTACTGGTATTTGTTGTTGAGGTCACAGGTTTATACATGATTTGGAGTGCAGAGAGCATTTCTTTTTTTCCCACTACACATCACGGAGCAGGGTCGGGTCAGCCCCACTAGCCGTGGTCCTGCACTGAGTAAACCTGAGACCAGCACTCACAGCTGAAACATACTCATCCCCTCTCCCTTTAGTCTGATGCCAGTGACCTGTAAAACATTTCTGTGCTGTCACAGCAAGCTCATTCACAACACCGTCCCTTCCCTGTGCTTTTGCATGCAGGGAGGTTTTTACAGCCCCTCTTCTGCACAGCTGCTCGGCCACCGTTGTGGCAGGAGAAGGTAGCTGCTCTCACTTGATTCATCAGGGTGCATTTGGATGCCAGCTGCCAAACATGACGTGACTGGCCCTTCCAGCCGGCAGTCAGGCTTTCCCACGCTTGGGTCCCATGGGCGGACAGCACCCTTCCCGGTAGTGCGTGAGATTACAGCCGGTCCTCTATTGCTCCCTGAGTCACATGCCCCACTCGCAGCGAGACAAAGAGGAGAGCTAAGGAACAGGGCTTCCTGGTAATTGTGTTTTTCATGGTTCTCTTCACCGATCCAGTAACAACATAATCATTGAAATTAGAGACAGAAAAGCTCTGCTGGGGCATTGTGTTAACACTCTGCCAGTTCCAGATTGCGATCTACCGAGCTGTAGCAGGTAAGTCATCACCTTCCCAGCTCTGCTCCACCCAGAGGGAAAAAAAACCCACACATGAAACACGGAAAGAAAAAGAAGAGCTATATTAAAAAACAAGCTGAGTTGTGACATTGCCGCCACCTATTTTGGGCTACTCCTGGTGCAGAAGCCTTCATTGTGTTGACTCTTCACTTAACTATATCTGTGACAGAGTGCCAAACTTTTCTTCATTTTCAGCCAAGCAGAATGGAAATAAATTATGGATTTTGCCACCTCTGTTCAAAGAGGGGAAAGTACTGAGGTGTTGCAGAACCTCTGGAGAAAGCAACCACTGCATAGCCCCTGAGCTACACCGACGGCAACACTGCCATATTTCAAAGCTGTCAAAGGTTTTGGAAGAGGGATGGGCCTTTGCCCTGAGTTAAAGAAAAGCAGTAGGACAGAGTGTGACGGATGTTTTATGGGTATCAAATATCTCACCAAGGTAAGATAAGTCACTGTGTAAACAACCATGTGCTGAGGCAAACACCTTAGTTTGAAGATGGTAACTAGGAAGCTGAGATGTTGAATAGCAAAGGGTAACCCATTCCAATGTAACTAGCCTATTTCCCCAGTGGGAATGTCCAACCTATTACTTATACCTGGCTTCAAACTAGAGAATTATCAAAGTCGTGTCCTTAAAAGACTATATCTTATTTTTCCTGTTGAACTGACTATGGGTGCTCACAGCGGCAACCTGGAATGGTTTTGTGAGTGTGCATTCAGGACTGTGATTATCCCTGATTTTTTTTTGTAGCATTGAGAAGTTACTGTCTTGCACAAGTTGGGCTATATAATTTGTTATCTTGCAGCATGTTCTTTTGTCTTTTTTTTTTTGATAAGTGGTTGTATAATAACTCACTGTGCTCCAGTCAGTCTTCAGAAGAAAACTCCTATCACCTGAAAAACAAAAAAATACTGAAACTTCTTCATTTGGTAGACTGTTCTGGTAAATCTTGGCTAAACCAGGCCTATGGGGAAGGAAATTGAGATAACTGATGCTCTTAAGCATGTGTCATTCTTCATCTCTCCAGTCAATAATTGACAAAAAAAGGGGAAAAAATCATATGGGCCAGACAGTTCACAGATGTTGCACTAAAACTGAGGTGGCATTTTGCTGTGCTGTGGGACAATCACACCTGTAGCAACAGCTGAAGGGGAAAATCCCTTCTCACCTTGGTGTAACGTTTCAGTAAATAGTTTTAAAATATGTGACATCCCTTCCCAGTACATCAGTGCCTCCATGAGCACAATTCTGCAATTTCCACAAACCATCAGACGCAGGGCAGTATCATGGTGCCAGCTGAGGGCAGGGAGATACAAGCCCCTGGGCAACAGCAGCCCTTGCACAGGGCAAGGCATTGCTATGGGAGCAGTGGCAACTCAAGGGGAATGTGTTGTGCATTAAACACAAACCAAAAGTAATTCAGGTCAGATGGCTGCTGCTTCCATGAAGTAAGCTGTCATAGTGGAAAAGAAGAGTTTAAAAGGGTGACTTCTCTTTTCATCTCACTATCTATTGTTTTAATCCAGCATAAGAACCAGGCTTGGAATCTTAGTGAAGTTACACAATTGCATTTGCAGTGTTGGGAGAGAAACCAGACTTCATCCCAGACTAATTGCCAGCTATAAAATTTAGTGGAGGCATACATAAAAACAAACCTGTAGCAACTTCAATGGAAACATGTCCATGTGTCAGTCTTCAAGCGAATCCAGAAATGCTTTGCCTAAAAAACACTGAATTTTAAGTAATGAATTTTAAGTCATGATCCTCTGCAAGAGGATCCACTGAGCTTGCTCATTACCCTGATTCACCACATAGTAAATATTGCTATTATTTAAAAAATGTTAAAAACCAGTGACTTACGTCAAAGAGGCTGTATGACTACACATCAGAGGAAAACAGCTCTGACAAAGAGATGATGTGTATCGATCTGAAAGACTCCATGAAGTACTCATTTGTATTACTAACCTAATGCTTCAAATGACAAGAGGTTTCCTTTTGTTTACATCTTTCCTGGCAATAGCATCATGACAACTGCAGCCTGTCTGCAAGAACGTACTCAGACCTGGGAACCCAGCCACACATTGGCAAACCGCAGTGTACTCCACGTGTTTCTCATCCTTTGCTTAACAACCTTGTGCTTGTAAGAAAAGCTACTTGTGTGCAGTATTGCATTCATTGTGATGATTCATGTCTATCAGCTTCTGCCACACAATGCTGGGATGTCACGTAGGATGCAGCCCACCTCCTGTATTTTCTCTGAGATAAAAATTTCCTTTAGTGGAAGGTGGGAAATAAAACCAAGAAACCAAGCCAAAAGAAAGGGGGAAGCATGCAGAGTTTGTCATTAAAGTATAAGCCAAGCAGGTTTTGTTTGTCAACAGCTGCATAAGCGAAAATAACAATTCTGAAATGACTTCTAACTGGAAGTGTTTTCATATCAAGTGGCACGTGTGAGCTTAACGCTAATGGTTCAAGGCCTTCCCAAGTGTCAAGTGGTGTGACTGCAGGTGCTGTCACAGCATCCCTGCCACATGCATCGGCAGCAGTTGCCACTGCCAGGGGCTGTCAGCTGCAGTGTTGGTCCCCAAGTGTCCTCCCCTGTGGCACATCCTTCACTCACATGTACGAAGGCATTGTGCTCTAGGAGCCACGTGTTTTCTGCTTTACCTCACACTGACAGCAAGGCAGAAATCCCTCCAGAGAATGTTGAATGGATCTCCTTAAACACCACAATTACACTCAAACACCAATAATTACATTTGCCTGGGATGGAGGTTTATCTTTGAACTCACGAAGCTTTTGTTAAATTGTCTTTACACATCAGCTCGCTCTGCTTTTCAGTAGACAACGTGAAACTCTGCTCTCACACCTCAGGAGCCAGTGTATTACATTTGCTCTGTACTTTCAGCATCGTAACTGGGAGCAGAAGTTGGATCTGGTTTTTTCTTCCCCTCTTAAAAGGTCAGGGAAACATGAAACCGCAAAAGGCTAATTCTTCTCTGTGTCAAATTTCTGTGAGCCCACAGGGCAACATAGCAGTGGTGTTTTTAATGCTTTTTTTCCCCCCTGACTTTTCAATCCACAGTCCTTGGAACAACTGGTGACAGCTCATACAGTAAGACACTTACTCTGGCATCATTCCTTCTAAGTTGCTTCTGATGAATATTGGGAGCACTAGAAAGGGTCCTGGCCACCACAGCACACGTGTGATGAGCAAGGGGAAGATATCACAGGGCTTGGCCTCATTACAGGTTTTCTGGTTCTGGTGCTGCCTGCTCACAATCCACAGTATTCAGCACACACACGCTTGGTTATTGTTAAACTGTAAATATTGCAAGAAGGTATTCAGCATGATTTAATATTCCTATTAGTGCCTCCAAAGGCCCAGCCAGAGAAGCTGCACTGTGCTGGGCTGAACACTGTGTAAATATTGATGGTTTCTGTCTTGCAGTGTTTACAATCCAAGAAGGAGCCCTCCACCAGAGCTCTCTGCTATGGTTTTGTTATTTGTCTTCGGAAATGATTTGTCTGATTTAAAGCATCATAAATGAGCATGTCCTTTCTTCTGCCACTACTACTAGAGCAATTACTTTACAAAGAGCTGTGAAGGCAAAGTTCTAGACCTAAATATTTTATCATCCTGATCAAGTATTAGTCTTTTGATATAAACTCAGAATCCAATACCTTTTCTGCAATACGCTACAATAAAATATGATCTCACAGTTCCCAAACCCTTGCCAGGTAACAGTGATTCAGCATAAGCACAGCAAAGCATCGCTTTGCTCCCCTGAACAGGGACATGCTCTCAGGTAAACTCACTTTAAGGCTTGATAATGGAAGAGGCTGCTCCCAAAGCCACCGCACTGACAAGATACAGATATGCAGCAGTGGTTGTGGAGAAACCCACATTAGGAATCAGGTAAGTTAACATTACACAAGTATATAGCAGGAACAGACAGTACAGGAATGGCTGTTGGCCCAAGGCCAACTGCCTTGCTGAGGGTGCTGGTGTTTGGAAAGGAAATGACAAGTTGCTACAGCTGCAAGAGTCGGCACTGACGCACAGCTTGCTGAACCCTCCCTCCGGCTGAGGATAAAACCTCTGCAAGGGAGCTGGGAGCTGTGCTATGCCTCAGAATACGGCTGGGCGCCGCTGCCATCCATCATGCAAGCATAAGTCCTTCAGCGTTCGAAGGCAAAGTTGCAAAAGACTTGTTATTCCTCAGGGTGTTCTGAAGATTTATATACTGTCACCTACCTGGGCAGTGGGAGATGTTTACCTGTCTCCTGTGTCAGCTGAGCTCAGGGAGCAGTAACATGATTACAACACTTGACTGCTCAGAAATGCCTTCTGGCTCCTCATATCTCCTCATCTGATCTCCAGGACACCTCACCACTGTTAAAAAGAAAACACCACCAGAGCACCACCCAGCTCCAAACCATCTGAGGTGCGGGCCCAGAAGCAGCTCTAGCATTCCCCTTTTCCCCTGCTATTGCAGCTGGCATGTTCATAAATCATATTTGTTCTTCCCACAAGCCTTACCTCATTTGGGGTCAGGGGGAGGCTTAGAGTCAGGGGTTTCACCTGAGGCAGGTTATACCTGCAAACAAAAGAGTGGATGTGGAAGGGCAGCCTTGCACCACCACCACCATCGCCACAGTGTTCATCAGAGCCCTTCACCAAGAACTGGAGCTGAGATTTCAGTGCTTGGCTCTCCCTGTTCCCCGCACGGGGAAGCTCGTACCTTGTCACTGCTGCCCGGCCACTGCACACCCTGCGCCTGGGGGCGGCCAGCAGCGCTTCCATCCGCGCTGTGCAAACACCGCTGCGCCCGTTCTCCGCACGGATAATAATAGTGCCACCCTCACTTCCCGCTCCCGGGAGCCATGGTGTGGGCACCCAGCGGCAACTACAGACAGTGACCCAAGGTCTGGTTAATGTTTCAGAGCTTTGAACCCACCACAGGTTGCACTTTGAGCCGTGCACAGCACGTTATTGGCGGTCCTGGTGTTTAAAGGTTTTTTTCCAACAACCGGTTGGGTGCCTGCTCATTTCCTAAGGAGTCTGACACCAGAAATTTCATGTCCATGTCAAAGTACCTGATGTCCACCTGCACTGGTGGAAAAACAATAAGCATTCTGTCATCAGCATAACCCTGATTTCCACAGACTTTGGGGGTTTTTGCACGTGAGAAGAGGCTGCGGCATCGCTGAGTGCCCTGTTAACAGCCAACAGGGCAAAGTTCTTGTTTCCTTTGTAGTGAAAAAGTTCAGGGCCGGATTTTGATTATCACAAGGAGTAGTAAAGTACATAGAGCAGAGATCACGCATTGGGTAAGAATTATCACCGAGGTGAAAAAACCAAACAGAAACAGCAAAACAAACTCCTGCCCAGCTGATGCAGCACTGCCCCACATTCTGGTGTGTGCAGCCCCTGCACCTGTGCGGTATATGTAGCTTATGGAAAAGACTGGGCAGTGCTGTGGATGCAGCACAGCCTTCCCAGGCACAGCACACCACCACAGCACGGCTGCCAGGAGAGCCCCACCAGGGCAGCGGTGGGCTCAGCCTGCCTTTGGATGTCTTTCTTCAACATGCAAATTAAAGTAAACTGGATGAAGTACCAAAATGTCATGCCTCTTAGCTTACATACTAAAAGAAAAAAAATATAAAAACAAAAAGTAAGAACAGAGAAGGTATCAAAGGACCTCTATTTTTATTTTTTATCAGGATCTGTTACCCTGAGCTGTGGTTACAATGTCAAGCACTCTTGATTTGAATGTGGTGTTGCTGATGGATGTACTCCCACACTACACACAACTTGCGTCTTTACAAGGGTTTTGGCTATTCTTTTGCAAGTCTGGGAAAGAGGAAAATTCACATTTTACACAAAATTAAAATCCTGCCTGACAGCTCCCATGTGCTGGCTGTGTCCCTGTTGTGTTGTTGCTGTTGTCCTGCCTTGGTTTGGCTCTGGTGCAGGCTTATCTCCCCTCAAGGTTCCTAAATAAATTTTTTTCTGTCTTACCACCCCATGCAAATATCCTCAGCCGGCAAAAGTCGCGGGGATTTAGAGGTGAAACATGAACACTGCACTCACAGTGGTGGCTCGGAGAAAAATGCAGACGAAGGACGGACAGAGCTTGCAGGCTCTGCCTGTAAATGCCACCAGCACACGCAGGGGGAGAACTGGAAAAAGCTCACTGCTCCAGAGTTGCACAACTGGACGGTGAGCAGAGAGGGGTAGGAGCCGTGGGAACTGGCAGCGGGGTGACACAGGAGAGCACGGGGACTGCCAAAATATTCCACCGCAGTCCAAAGACTGACAATTGCGGCAAGAGCCATCTTCCCCCCCTCCCTGCAAAACATTCCCTCTCCTAGGGATTTGCATAACCCCGTGTACATTTCCTGCAGTCCTTGGGCAACGAATAGAGTTGTGGTTCAACAATTTACAGGATCAAAGGCAGATCATGATCCTATCGCTGGAACAGTTACGTTTTTACATGCGGGCTTTTTAGATATCATTTCTCAAAGATCAAACTCCAGTGTATTCCAGGGAAGTAAGTTTAGACAAACCACAGAGCTGGGGAGAAGGCAGGATCACTTATTTCTTTTTCTTATGCATAATCAAAAGTTTTATTAGGGTTTTCTAAAAACCCATAGCTCTCATTCTGTACCCAGCCAGTGCAGACTGGCCACAGTTTGAGATCCCCAAGGTGGATCTACTGGGCTGCCTTACAGCAGGGGATTTCCTAGGGCAGGAAGCCCATCCTGCAGGGAGGGAGGCTCAGCCAGCTCTTACTCCAATGGCAGACAGGGCTGAGGGTTTTACAAGCGCCTTGCGTGCGATTTCCCTGCTCTGTGTCCAGCCCCTGGCAGCTGGAGAGGAAGCAGCATGTAATGAGCCCCAGGTGGAGGCAGCAGCTTCAGCTCTGCAATGGCAACACCCAAAACACCCCCCAAAACAAGGGAAGGCATCTGGGGCAGACCACTTCAGCCCAGGCTGGATAGCAAATGCAGATGAGGGCTGGGGTAAGGCAAGGACTAAAGGCAAATCTTCAAGGAAATAGAGGATCTGAAGTCAAACTCCCCCCTGAGCTCAACAAGCCTCACAGCGCCTGGGTCATGCCACCAGTGAGTCACTTCTGCCAGATGGGGAGAGTCTGGCCAACACAGGCATCAGCTGGTCCGTGCAGCCCTCCTTGCTCTTCTGACCCCGTGGAAGGAAACCTGGGCTTCTGCATCACTGCATTTCAAAAGGAAAGGAAATTAAATTTTTCACGGCGGAAATACCTGTTGCTTATCAGTGTAAATATGAGAGAAATGACACAGTCCCCCACACCTCCTTTCATGCCTCCTGCTTATTTAAACTCACACTGCCACATCAGAGGAAGCTCAGAGAGTGGTGCTGGCTGTGGGCACAATACCCGGCTGGGCTTCACACGCTGCCCTCCCCAAGACCACCAGCACCCCATGATCACACATGGGTGAAGGAGCAAGGCGTTGCAGGACCGAGTGTGAACTCTCCCATAGGGAGACCTGTATGTCTGCATTCCCACCACCTCCTCCCAGGGTTCAAAGAGACGGTAAGGGATGTCACTCTCCCTTCAGAGGCTGACTGGGACATTCCTCTCTGCCCCAGGTGTCACGGACACAGTAGCAGGGGTCAAGGTAGGTTTGGTAGGGGAAGGGAGGTGGAGGGACTGACTGTTTTATGACAGACAGTATGTGCTTTGCAGATGCAAATCTATACACTAAACCAAGATAGTCACAGAAGGTTTTTTCCACATATCACCAGCTAAGGAAGAAAAACTTTTGAGGAGGGCTTTGGAGAAAGCTGGCAGCACATCACTGGAAATACCTTGGCTGAATGCAAGCCAACTGAATTAAACATGAAGAATGAGTTACAGAAGCAACTGCCTAAGCGGTGTTTAATACAATAACCTGAACTAACCTTTTCATTCAGGTTGGCAGAGGAATGTCTGCTTCACACCTCACCAGGAGAAGGTTCATGGCAGCAGAGCCAGGACTCTGAAAGCACACAGGCTGACAAAACACCACTGACTCAAAACTAAAAATAATCCCTGAATTTTTGAAAATGCCCAATGGATTTTATTGCTAATTGCTTCTTTTCTTGCCTTTCCCCTGTCACAACAAAAAGCAGAAGTTCGAAAAAAGCTGAGCTATCTACACAGGGAAAATGTGCTTTCTCTCAAACAGAAGTTGATCTGTTTGCATCAGAGCAAGATTTGCTGCTGTGGTTAGTGTAGTGGAGTAACAGAAATCAGATGCCTTTCAAAACAGTACAAAACTAGTCAAAATATCTCTAACCTAGTTAAGTGGACTATGCATGATATTATGTAAGCACTCTCAAGTCAAACAGACAAAGAAATGATAGAGGGAGAGTAAAAGCAAGGAATGAGACTAGAAGTGCAAAAGAAAACAAAATAAAACACTGGACACAAGGTCAAGCAATCAGAACTGTGCAGGCTAGAAAAGGAAGTGAAATTACAGGCTCTGGCAAAACAGCTGAATGCTTACTCAGGAAAATTACAAAACTGTTGAGATCCTTACCATCAGTTATGTGTCTTCTATCCAGAACAATTTCCAAGACAAGCTATATGAAGTCATAAAAGCAATCCTGGGATCATCAAATTCTTCTCACATCGGTCAAATTATTTTTTATATAAATTCCAGGGCCAATATATATATGGTATCCTTACTAGGATATATATGGGATATAGGTATATATACACACACACACACAAAATTGCATCTTGGTAAAATCTATAAGCTGATGGCAGGTTATGATCAAGACTATCTTCTCCATCAACAGCTTCTACAGGAGAGGCTTCTAAAGGCCAAAAGCCCCAGCTAAGCACTAAAATTTATTTTCCAATCAACAAAAAATCCAATTGTGTTCCTGCAAAAGAGCTAGAACACCAGAGGAAAAGTTAAGATAGGGAAGAACACTTGGTTTAGGTTCAAACTAGATAGGACACATCAGTTAAAGGAACCAATGGTTCATCCCTTATGGAAGCCACTCAGGCCCTGTTTGGTTTTTGAGAGAAAGCAGAAGCAAGTATGGAGTGTGTGACACATTATTTCCCACAGAGCTATCAGGCTGTAGGGACTTCAGAGGCAGGATCAAACATTCTCTGTACACTTATAGAAAGCCATACTACTAAAACTACAAGCTTCAGAGTTGGGAATTATTTCTGCACTACTGCATATAAAAATGAATATTCCCAAAAAGAAGGTGAGTCCTGCCAACTTGTGAAATGTCACTGATGGAGGAGCTCCAGGTCACTATTTCCCCAGCAGTGTGGCAACTTTACAGAGATGGAAAGACACGAGAAGCCAGACAAACATAGATATATCTACTGCAAAACCCACAGCTCTGGGACTGACCCACTCTTACCATCATCAGGTCAATCCTCTTTTAATGTCAGCTAAATGATGTGATGAAAGGCTCATTTAAAAAAAAAAAAACCAAAAAAACATGTGCAGGGTTTATATATACCTAGACAAGGGTTCTTCACTCCGAGAGGGTCATGTTGTTACACACCTAGAGATAGGGCTTGGTGCCCAGGGCAGGAACTGCCTAGGCTGCAATTAGAGAAAGCAGCCACAGCCCTGGTCTGTGGTCCCAGGGAAGCTATCCAAGAATAAACAGGGTTAGATGGTTGTCAGCTGCACTCATTCAACTCACAATCTGCCACCTGTGCCCCCCCTCCTCCCCCCAGTTAAGTCACTAATTCAAAGTACTCCTACCTCTGTGCCTTTTTACAGGTTTATTACACATTGTGTAAGCAGCTGAAAGATCAACACCTTGTTTGTCAGTAGAAACACATGGAATTTGGCAGAAACCCTGCTATCCAGTGG